TTGTTGTTGCATATAGTTGAGTTGGAACTGATCTATAGCTAACTCTCCAGTGGGTTTTCAGAGAAATAAATCGCACGGGAGAAGATTGCCCATCCCTCTCCCATGGAGCATCTGGTGGATTCAAACCATGTACCTTTGAGATTGAAGCACAGCTTCACTAGACCATTGGAGCTTGCCTTAATGTCATCGAGGTTAGAATTTATAACACATAGAATGTTATTGTTGTGTGCTGTCTAGTGCAACCAACTGATAGCTGATCCTCCAGCAGAGCTCCAGAGGCATAGTTACTTTATAGTAAGGATCATGACAAGGTTAACGCATGGTATTAGCCATCTCACTCAAATAACTCATTGCTGTCTAATTAGAACCAAGTCATATCTGAACCTCTAGTACTCAGAGACTCAATTTTCAGAAGCTGTAAATCACAAAGGAGGAGATTTATCCCTCAGAGCAACTGATGGACTCAAACTGCCCATCTTTGGGATGGCAGTACAACCCCTTACCTCACTAGACGACCAGAGCTCCCTTTTTATCCATCACTGTCTCCTAAAATAGGTTATTCCAATGAGAACAGCAAATGCAAATTCAGGTTTAAATAGCATTATCAGAATAATACAACTTCTTGTTTTTGTTTTGTGCCATTGAGTCACCTGCGACTCATTAGCGACCCTGTGTACAGCAGCCCTAACCCCTGTTCTATCCTGTGCCAATCTCACTATCTCCAACACACCTACCCCGACTACACCAGTCACTGAATCAGTCCACCTCATAGAGGGTCTTCCTCTTCTGCGCTGCCCCCCACCCTCCCAAGCATGACATCCCTCTCCAAGGATCCGTCCCTCCTTGCATCATATCCAGAGTATGTCAGACGAAGGTTCAGAATCCTTGCCTCCTAGGAGCAGCCCGGTTTAACCCTCTCTAAGACGAGGGAACACTGCATGGTTCAAAATTGGGAAAGGCGTATGCCAGGGATGCGTCCTATTTCCATACCTTTTCAACCTGTATGCAGAACAGATTATCCGGGAGACTGGGCTCTATGAGGAGAAATGTGGGGTCAAGACTGGTGGACGATCTCTCAACAATCTGCGTTATGCAGATGACACAACCCTGCTTGCTGAAACTGAGGAGGACCTGAAGCGCTTGCCACAGAGGGTCAAGGACTGCAGCCTCGAATATGGAGTGAGGCTCAATGTCAAGAAGACAAAGATTCTCACCACTGGACCAATTGGCAGCATCAGGATGGATGGTGAAGAGATTGAGATTGTTCACAACTTTGGTTTGCTTGGCTCCACAGTCAACACTCTTGGCACCAGTAGCCAGGAAATGAAAAGGTGCATTGCCATGGGAAAGTCTGCTGTTAGGGACCTCTCCAAAGTACTGAGAGCAGTGGTGTCTCTCTGGAGACTAAGGTGCGTCTGATACATGCCACGATCTTTGCAATCACTTGTTACGCATCAGAGAGTTGGACAATGACCAAGGAGGATAGAAGGAGAATTGATGCCTTTGAGCTGTGGTGCTGGAGAAGAGTATTGAGAATACCATTGACTGCTAGGAAAACAAACAGATTCATCCTGGAAAGGGTCAAACCGGGCTGCTCCTTGGAGGCAAGGATTCTGAGGCTTCATCTAACATACTTGGGACATGTTGTGAGGAGAGACCGGTCCTTGGAGAAGGCCATCATGCTTGGTAGAGTGGAGGGACAGCGCAGGAGGCCCTCTATGAGGTGGATTGATTCAGTGACTGGGATAATCGGTATGGGAGTGTCAGAGATGGTGTGATTGGCACAGGACAGAGCAGAGTTTAGGGCTATTGTACATAGGGTCACTGTGAGTTGCGAGCGACATAACAACAACAACAACAACAGGACGAATCTGTTCGTTTTCTTAGCAATCCATAGTATATTCAATACTCTTCTCTAGCACCACAGCTCAAAGGCACCAGTTCTCCTTCTAACATTTCTAGTCATTGCCCAGCTCTCTGATGCATAGCGAGTGGTTGCAAAGACCATGGCTTGTGTCAGGTACACCTTAGTTTCCAGACTGATGTCATTGCTCCTCAGTACTTTGGAGAGGTCTCTGATATCAGACATTCCCCTCGAATATGTCTTCTGATTTCCTGGCTGCTGGTGCCGAGAGTGTTGTCTGTGGAGCCAAGCAAACTAAAGCTGTTAACAGTCTCAATCTCTTCACCATCTATCATAATGCTGCCAATTGGCCCAGTGGTGACAATCTTTGTTTTCATGATATTGAGCCTCAGTCCATACTTAAGCCTGCATTCCTTGACTTTCTGCAGCAAGCACTTCTGGTCCTCCTCAGTTTCAGCAAGCAGGGTTGTGTCATCTGCATAATGCAGATTTGAGGGAAGACGAATATCAAATTTACTAATAGTAGATCAAGTGCTATATCAGGAAATGAGGGAGGCTTAATATAAGCTGAAAGTCACCTTGTAACACTAAGATGTTCCCTAAGAGTCAACATTGTTCTTAGTTTGTATCAACTGAATCCCTCACTCCTGAGATTAGCATAAAGAGGAACTTGGCCTTATCTGTAAAAGACTTCACCATTATCCTTTGTTTTGTTTTGTACTTCCTTATGATTTTACTTTGTTTACCTTCCTTATGATTCTAAATAAATACTCAGAGAAGCATGGCTTGGGGCCTTCAGTCATGGGAACTGTTGGCCCCCTGTTTTTCACTCTCTGTTCTATATCATTCCTGGTAGTCTGTCTCATTATTAATAATTATAAAATTATTTCATTCTTTGGGACCCTCGGTCTGCAACACAGATTGTTAATGAATCTTCCTCCAATCCTGATGCCACATTTCTCCTCATACAGCCCAGCCTTCCAGATTTCTGTTCTGCTTATAGATTGAAAAGATATGGGGATAGGACACATCTCTGGCATACACCCTTCCCGGTTTTGAACCATTCTGTGTTTCCTTGCTCTGTTCTGACGACTGCCTCCTGGTCAAAGTATACTTTTCGCATTATCACAATGAAGTGTTCTGGGATTCTCTTTACTCTTAGAGTTAGCCACAGTTTGTTGTGATCCACACAGTCAAATGCCTTTGCATAATCAATGAAACACAGATAGACATTCCTCTGGAACTCTTTGCTTTCAGCCAAGATCCATCTAACATTAGCTATGATCCCTACCTAGTACCACAACTTCTTTTAAACCCAGCCTGCACTTTTGGCAATTCTCTGTTGATGTGCTGTTCCAGTTGTTTTTGGATAATCTCCAGCAGAATCTTGCTTGTATGTGTTATCATTGATATTGTTCAATACAACTAAGTAATAAAAATAAGACCCAAATTTATGCATTATAATTTCAGTTTTAGTTTTTCTAATCATTAGCAATTCACATCAGAGATACCATAGTATTAAGGTGTATTCCAGTTTCAGAGAAGTTAAAATATGAAAAAATACTAATGTTAGAATTCACTGAATATGGTAATTTATCTCTAAATCAGTGGCTTACAACTATCCCTCCCACTCCGGATACCTGAGAGAAACAATATACTCTTCAGTTACTGGAAACCACTGTAAAAGATCTCTGGGTACATATATGACTGAATCTCTAGGAGGGCATAGTACTCTGGTAGTTAAGAATTGCTATGCTGGAAGGGGAGGCAACTCCAAGATGTCAGAAGCTACTGCCATGCCATCTCGCTGGGCCAGAGACAGAGAGGGAGCCAGCCGGGAATGCTAGTGCTGACATTTACTTTTGCATAGAAAAGCTGGCCCCCAGCTCTGCATGTTGGAGACGCTGAGAGAGGGGCTGAAGCCTAAGATAGCCCATTGGAAGGGGTATTAAAAAGATGTGTGTAGTTTTGTTCACTTCTAAGTTAAGTTCACTTTTGAAGAAGTGTTGTCGGGGGAACCAAGGTGGCGGTGGAAACAACATAAAGAGTTGCAGGAACAGCAAGCTGCATAGAAACAGGCCACCATGGCCCTCTACAGTGCTCTGTTTATTGATAATTGGACAAGTAAACAGTTGATTACTGGTCTTCAATATAGATTGAGGCTCAACATCAAGAGATCAAAGATTCCCAAGGAAGCATGGGTTTGCTCCCTTTCCTATAGGTAACCATAGCACTTTTACTCCATACCTGAACCCTGAATCCAGTTCCAGAGACAAAAAGGAAAATATAGCTGCCAGCTAAGCAAAGGACGGAGCCTCAGGGTTCAGCCAGCCATCCCCACTGGACCTACCTTAGCAAACAATTTGCAGTTCAGAGGGCAGTTAAAGTCAGGAAAATATCTTGTAACAGAACAAGAAGGTATGCAGCTTCAACTCAGAACCACCAGTAAGGTGTTAAAGTGGGCTCCCCTTCCCCCTTCAAATCAATGCCCCTTTTCAGCATGAAAAAGCCAGAGAGTGTGCACCCCATTCTCAAATGAGAAACCCACAAGTGAATAAGATAATTTCTGTTTAAAAAAAAATCATCACCATTGAACTATGCGTACCATTGCCCTGTCTCTTCTGGCTCCCACTGAACCTTTCTTATTTCCTTCAACTACTCCCCTCCCCCCTGCCCACCAAATTGTGCAGCCCTGCAATTTCATCCCTGCCCATCCTCACCCCTTCAGCTCCCCACCCTCATCCCTTTGTATCCCATACATGTTTTTCACCATAAATTTTAAATTTAAAAAAAGTTGCATCTTTAAAAAAAAAAGAAAGAATTGCTATGCTAGATGATAAAATTACTAATGATTTCTATTGTTTTTTTAATTCACTTCTGTATTTTCCAGATGTTTATAACCAGCATGTATTATTTTTATGATTAGAAAATAAAAATAATCATTATTGTTTTAAAAAGGAATTATTTGTCTACTCTGGGTTTCCTTTTTTCTTAAATTAGTTTCTTCTGCTATGAGATTTGCATCTCCTTCTAATAGGAAAGTCTTTGTAATTCAGGAGGTGGGAGAGGAAGTGGGAAGAGTGCTAGGCGTGCATCTTAACCTCTTCAGAAAGAACAAATCTTTTTCTCTGACTAGATAACTAAGGCACCTCAGCAGCTTCAGAATTGCCAGGAAATTGGACGGATGCTGCAACAGGCCAGGAATTTCATGGTAAGTGCTGACTGGGCTTACATCACCAGGGAGTTTACTGTGAAGATCAGGAATGGAGAATCCTGGGTAGTTAGCAGATGGTGGTACTGAGACTTGATAAAGAGAGATTTTCAGAACCTTTGTTAGGGACATGTCCTTATGGGGAACTTGAAGTTAGGGTCAGTGACTTTCCATTCTGGTGTTCCTGCTTATTTCTTACTTATGGTTTTATTTGATCTAGCATATCCATTGAAGCTTCCAGTTATTAGATGGAGGGCTGGTGAAAGGGAGATAGATGTGAAGGGAGGGGGTAGAAGTGGATGGCTATCCTGTGGGATGGTGAAGCAGGAAATAAGTGCATAAAGGTGCATGTGAGAAAGGCAGGGACAACACTGACACTAAAGTTAACTCCGCAATAAGGGATATACCTTTAACT